ATATATATATATATATATATATATATATATATATATATATATCTGTTAAAGTTAAAATCACGTTTTTTTCAAATTATTATTATTTAAAGTTGAAATTTTAATCCGATATATGGAAGCGAAACCTAGGACTTCAAAATCACTGTACTAATTTGATATCTTAAGTTTTGCGATATTCTTTAAGATAATTTCTTGAAATAACACTGTAAAATTTTGAGATCTCTTGTAAAATGACAAAAAACAATCACATTTTCCCAGTATCAGCTTTACGACAGCCGTAAACCTCTCCGAAACCTCCACGTCCGATTATTCGATGCACAGAAAAGTCATTCATTGTTAATTGCATATTTAGCTCCAAATTTTTCCATTGGCAAAACCGTGTAAATTTATCGCTAAAATAATCTTTATAAATATTAAAAAATTAAATCAGCCTTCCTCGTCAACAAATTTAATCTATTCAAATCACTTCCATTTAAAGAAATTATAGAAACAGCTATGTGAATTAATTGCTCTTTATTATGCATTGTCCAATAGAAGTCGTAGTAATAATTATTGAAATTATTAAATGCATAATCATTTCTCAATAATTGATTATTACTATTGTTATGAAAATAAATCCTTTCAAGTCGTAAAAGCTATTATTAGCAAAAATATTCTGACACAGATAAAAAAATGTTGGCTTTTTCCACTAAAATTTATGCCACTGAAATAAATTTATGCCACTGTAATAAATTTTAGCATTTTCTTTATGAACCGTGTCAATGTTGCAACTAGAAAGGTGAAAAATACTTACAAATGCTAATAAGTTTTAGTAATAAAATAACAGGCATATTAAATTTTTCGCTAAAGATAGTTCGATTTTTGATCAAATAACTAAAGAAACGCGTTTGAAAATTTTGGAAAATTTTTGGCAACATTAAAAAATTTTCAAAACCCAAGAAGAAGCGTAGCATTTTCTGCTTAATTTATTTTACCTTTCCAGAAATTTCTGAAAAACGCCATTTTCCAGCTGGTCACATATTTCTGTTATATAGGGCTGAAAAGATTTTACAAAGGTAGATAACATCAATTTCAAGACAAAATCTTGAGACTTGTAAGAGCAAAGTCTTAACTTTTAACTTCTCATCACGCCTATTAATTCTTACTCTTACTGTTCGATCGCTTATAACAAAATAAATTTTCACTATTCTTAAAAACTTAGTTATATTTCAATTTGTTTGTCTCCAGTCTTAGCTTCGAAAAAACTTGTCTTTACCAAAAAATTTTTCGCGTTTAGAGAGCAATTTTCTCTTAACTTGTAAAAAAGCTCAAAAATTTTGGATGAAGTCGTATGTGTTATGTAAAATATTTTATTTGCCTCACTATCCCATTCTTATGAAGACTTACTTGAAATAGATCAGGTCGTACGTTGTTTTTCATAATATTGCTCTGAACATGTTGCAATGCTTCCTTTGAGTAATTCTACAACAGTGCCTATTATATTAATTTAAATGATTTATTTTAAAGAAAAACAATTATTCGTTTTATCGCCATGATCTATCTCAATTTATTAAAAAGTTTGGATTTTCTTGTTGTTTTGACCAAATTACTTTATCAAATTAGGAGATAAAGTAATTTATGGTAACAAGGTCTACGCATTAAATTATTGAAATAATTCCTTCAATCACGATTAATGAAAAATAAAATAACCGAAATGTACAAAAAACCAGCAGAATTGCAAGTATGAGAAAAATTTAGAACGATCACTAATATTGAAAAAAATGTGTTGGTAAATATAAGAAAATTAATATAGGTCATTAAAACCTATTTCTGCTCACCAATATTATAGGATGCAACACTGAAAATCATATTTATCGATAATTATATTTAGATATCCGACTGGAACTTATACTTCACAGCTAGTGACTTCTATGAATCTATCATGACATAAACTTTACTTTCGTAAGGATAATTATTCTGAATTTATAAATACAAATATATAATTTTAGAGAGAAAATATGGAGAGTTCTGAGTTATGAAAAAATGCAGACAAATCCGTAGTAGTGAATTTTTGGAGAGAGATTGACATTACTATCCTCATTAATTGATTTTATCTACAATAAATACTTGAGAAAAAATAATGGATGGAAGAAATATAAAATTAGCTGAAAATATAATTTTCAGAACTTTCCCAGAATAATTTAGTTGGCATAGAGCAAACAATTTTTTATCCATAACGAGAGAAAACATTAGTTTGAAGTAAGTAAAAACTTTTACAGTAAATCCTATAAACTTTGGATTTGTATTAAATTTTTTTAAACTGCAGTAAAGTATTCATTCATACGTGTGAATGGGCGAGCATTTCCACCATAATGTGATGATCGTAAATTTCTCGAGCTTTTATCAGACGTTCTTCGGCAGTTCCCATCTTTTCGTATTCTTTAATCTATAACTGATTTTCATAAACAAAGTCGATAGCAAATTGCATGCATATAAAAATTCAAAAGTCTTCAATGACAACCCAAATTTCTACAAAAGTTTACGTAAAGAATTTTGAATTTCCTTCAAAACATTGGCGGTTCGATGTACTCAAGAAAAAATAATGAATAAAAGAGGATAAAACTATGAAAATGTAACAATAGATAAAATTAAGAAAATCCAACACAAAACTTCTAGTCATCACAACGCACATAATATCTCCCGACAAGCAACTTCCCATTTCTATAAAAGCAAATATCAGAATCGCAGCTACTGATTATTTCAATCCAAAAATTACAGAAAATACAAGAATTTGATTGACACTGAAAATTTATTAATTTTTTAGTAAAATTTTAGAGGAATGTTAAACCTTTCTTAATTCATCTTTTTCAATTCTCACTTCCACTTTTATCAGTATTTGGCCAATTTCGTCCATTAGCAATTTTATGAAGGTACTCGAATTCACACGAATTCGAACTTAATCAAGAAAGCCTCAAGAAAGGCTGACTCATTTAAATTACCAAGTTCCAATATTCTGTGATAAAACGCTGCAATCAGGGTAAAAAAAAGTTTACCGCTTCATAAAATTTGATTTGTTGACATGGAGCTTCAGAAATATTTTCTGCAAAGTCTTTCAGCAACAGAAAGCCTAAACGCTCATTGAATATCCGTTCGAACTTGATTTCGCCCGTCTTTTCCAAATACTTTTGCATTATACTTCGAACACTATAAATAGTGCATTTATTGAATAATAATTATACCAACAATGCTAATAATAATAATGTAATTAGTGTCAGAAAGTAATGGTAATTGAACAATAATGCAGAAATAGCAAAAAACAGACATAAACCAATTACTAGTATTTAATTAACCTATAACAATTAGTTTGAACTTGCTACGTAATTATAATAGCAGTGATAACTAATGTTTCTAATAAATAATTAAGACAAGAAATTATCATGAATTGATTAATAATGACTGGTTTTGTAATTATTTAATAAAAGGTTTTGTCAATTTTCTCATAATTATTTTCTTATGATAACAAGAAAAATGCCTCGGATCGGGTAATATAATCTTTTTGGATGCTCGCGCGGCCGGTTGACTTCTTGATTTTTCCATTGCCATCAAGTAGCTTACGTCTGCAAGAACCGCTTCCAAATCTGCCATTCTCACTGGTTTCTGCCGCGTAAGTTAAGCACATAACACGTAAGTCAACTATGCGCAGTAACAGAATATACGTTTGACAATAATGAAGCGTTTTCAAATTCCAGTAACTGAAATGTGTCTGAAAATTCTTCTTACATTATAGCGTCATAGCAATTTACCAAAAAAAAATGTACTTGACGAAAAATAATATCCAAAATAATATGCCATCTCGTCGGTATTTCCTATTTCTTAAACAAAAAATAGTTTTCACGTTCATTACGGTCAGCATTTTATCATCGTTCATCATCATTAAGTATAACGTTTTTTATGCTAGAGTAGGAAATTTGTCACACATAAAAATATTCAAACAGCTAAAAAAGAGTAGAAAATGCAGTCTTAATTTATGACTTTGGTCATAAGAATGCGTGTTAACTTAACAAATCTTATCAAATTCATGCAGCGCAAATGTCATATTTACATAAAGATTATTCCAACGCAATTGTATCTCAAGTTCCATTTTCATTCTGCGTAATCTATTCACATGTCTACAGCTAGTGAGTACTGAAAAGTGTTGCAACAAAATAATAATATAAAAACAATATTGTACGAAAATTTGCGGAAAAAGCTTTGTAAAAAATTTATAAATGGCAGTTTATTTTCCTAACCAAAACAAATCATATGATAGATTAGAGAAAAAAGTGAACGAACTTTCACAAAACTTAAACGAAAATGCAGCAATAGTTATGAAATTAGCAGCAGTCACAATTATCTAATGCAGATAATGTCGATTAATGATGGTAACTGCATCGTTAAAATGATGATGTTAATAACAATGCTGCAATGATATTATACACATACCAAAAACGTATCAACAATAACATCATTATAATATTACAAAATAATTGTAACAACAATTGTAATGAAATTAATAATCAAATTAAAAAAGACATAGGTGATATAATATTGATATTAACATCATTAAAATAACAGAAATTATAATACTACTATAAGTTCAATAATACATGCTAATATAAATTCAGCAGCAATAGTAACTATTGAAGGAATGAATATTTATAGTAAAAATATAACAAAGGACTAATTAAAATACCAGTACAAATGACAGCAGAAAATCTTTTTAAATTAATTTGAAGTGAAAAGGCTTGATTGTGAGTGGAAAATTTTTGAAGACATATGATTCATACATTCAAAGTAAACGTGAGCGAGCAGAATTCACATCTACTTGCTTAACTTGTTCACACGGAGCAAATTTGCGGAAGTTTCGGCGTTTTTGTAAAATCGCTGTGCAATTAATTTCTATATGTGATTATTACAGTTGAAAATTTAGTTAGTTAGCGAATATGCACTAAAAAAACATGCTAAATTTACGAACTTCTGAAGCCATCAGCCTAAAAGCAGAAAAAAATTATTTAATACTTTCCGCATATTTTTTCTTATGATAAGTTGCAAACAGTTAATGAATGAAGACTTGATAAAACTTGAATTGACCTGATTTCAATTAGCCCAATCTGATTTGGTCTGAATTACATTGACCTGTTTGGGCCTGAACTTGTCTTAGTTTAGCTGATATTTTGATTGTCTGCAAGAAACTCTTGGGACTTGTAGTCAAAATATATATTATAAATCAGAAATGAAAGTCATAAAAATCGCTACTGGGTAGGAAAAAACTTACTGGTCTCATTTGCAGAGGCTACAACTGAGCTCAGCAAGTGCATGTAGTAAAAAGACCAGAAAAATCGAGTCCAGGCCTGCATCTCAGAGACAGCATCCTAATAACTCTGAAAGCAATTGAAGAATGAAGTTATGCTGACAGTTTAATAAATTTCCACTTTTTTCTTCAACTCCCTCTTTCCCTCCTTCACAAATAATCGCTGAAATTACTCAAATAACTGGACGGAAAATTGCTCAAAGAATACTCAATGCAGCATATAGATACATGCAAAGAGACTCACGCACGGACGAATATATCGAAGAATAAATTACAATGTCCTGTAAATAGAAATCCAAATATTCACACATTCTGCATATTCGGCGAGGCATTAACGGTAGGTTGGATCGTTACAATCCATCCACTGTAAACAACGCGTGATATCATTTCAATATTTATTTCCAATAAAATTTATATTTAGCACATCCAATTTTGCGTATAATGTCAATATTAAGAGAATATTGACTGATATTTAAGATTCAAGACGCCAAACTTTTCATGAAATAATCTGCATGCATAACGCACGTGAATAATATTCAAAGTAAATGAATGATAATAAAAGTGACATACTATGGGAAAGCGAAATGAAATGAATATGCCAACGCCAAACACTTTACAATTCTAAGGAGCAATTATTGAAAATAAAAACAAAAGTACGACAAAGTAAGAGTTGGAACTTTCTGAAAGTAACCAGACTTATTACCAAAATGCATTCTTATGTCAGCTTGCAAATCAACTACATTAACTGCTTTTGAACTTCATAAACTTCCCATTTCATAAGAATTATATGCAAATTATTCAGAATTTGATTGCTGCAGTAATGATGAAATAAATTTTTTAGTCAAACTTTATATTAGACGTAAGAATTCTCTCGAAATAATTCCCACAATTTAAGAATAATTTTTCACAATACATTTCTAATTAGTGCTGAAAATCATCACAATCTCTTCTTTCACCTACTTTAATAAAACGAAAAGTACTAAAAAAAATTTCTTTAATACAATTCGTCAAAATAGGATTCTTCAATAGGATTACGCAAAAGTTTTTAAATATGCCCAAGTTTTTCGGCCATAAAATTATTCATCAAAATTTTTCGTTCAAAGTAAAAATGTATCACTCGAAAGTTTTGAAAATACAAGCATTTGAATAACTGCAAAAGAAATGGAAAATACACAAACTGGCTTACTCAGGCTGTTGCTCAAACTTAGAATTTATCATTTTTTATTCGACCGATTTAGCCGAGATGGATTTAGATGGCAGCCATGAATAAATGAAGCAATGACTATGAAATAACAGAATGATTGATAATTGTAATAAGATTACTTTTGCCAACAAACTCGATCAAAAGAAAGGATTTCGTTTACAGGACAAACAATCGCAGTACTGCTGCGAACGCTAAATTTACTCATAACTGAAGAGCATAAAATCAAACCTGTCAGGACAGCTGTAGAAGAATAACACGAACAGACAGAAGAAATCGAACCAAGCAGCGAATGATAGGTTTCTACAAAGAATTCCGAGATGAGTTCCCAATTAGCAGAAAGGATACCCTCAATGGTGCAAAATGCATAATCTTCTAGAACTCTTAGGATATATATATGTGCTCTACTTACGCAACTGCCAATAATTTTCAATGCAAGATGAAATTAAAATGTATTAGAGTGAAATATTCAGAATGGTAATATCAGAATCAGTACTGATTCTAAATTCAAGATTGTATTGCTGCATTCAAGAAAAATCTGAGTGCTTGTTTTCATTGGAAATTATAAAGACAACTTGACTTTAATGCATGCTGCAGTATTGCTACCAAATTAAAAGATTTAAATCGAGAAAAATTTCAAATGTGACCTTTGATGAAAGCTATCAGATGCCATCCAATAATTTAAAAGAAACTGTGTTCTGACAACAAAAAACGATGCTGATTTGTTTCCGATGTTTAATTGGAAAAAGTTTTTTTGTCTTTTACATGCATTAAATTATATTCGATTATATAAAACTGCTGCAAGTGAAAATGATTCGTCACATAATAACACAAGTTATATTAATGCTAAAATAGACAACGAAGAGAAGATATTTCTTTGAATTAAGAAGATCACTGAGAAGGAAAAAATTTTCGTCAACCTCCTACACCATTCACTTTTTGAGGAAATTTTTGGAAAGGAATAAACTTGGCGATTCATGAATATTTATATGACAATCAGAAGAAAACATTCCCAAATAAAAGTTAATAATAGACTGCATGCAGAAGTCATTCGCAGTCTCTTTTCGCTTCAGTAATATTATACGATTACTTATTACGCAAAGATTTTTGCTTCAGCAGATGTCCGTTTGGCAAATTCTCTTGATTTCTCCTCGTCGAACGGCCGAATTTTTGCTAGAAAGTAGGAACATTCCAACTTTGCTTTTTGACTTGTCATCAAGCCATCGATGACTACCATTTTTCACACGAGCTTTCTTACCTTAGCCAAAAAACTGTGAAATGCCAAATCTTACCAATAATAGCGTCTTAGTGAGTCAACAAACAGTCAAGATTACGAGAAAATAACAATAAAACAACTTGAAAAATCGGATGCCAACAGAAACAAAGCTTATTGTAGACTGCCTACAAAGATCACTTACTCTCGAAAGTATTCATTTCACTTCCAATCCTTGAAGACCACTAAATATGCAAATATTATCTGAGACCGCACGGCAAAAAGGGTTTAGACATTAGAAGTCATCATCTCTGAACAAAAGATTGCTTCTCATATTTCCTTTATATTCAAAATTATTCCAAATTATCTGAAATGAGCTAAATCATTATCAGTGGTTTGCTGGTAATAATGAGATTTTGTGATTCAATGTCTTTGTATCTGCATCTTAATTATTCTTTTTTTACAGAATTATTTACAGTGATGCACTGATTTTCTATAAGAAACCAATGAGAGGTACGAGATGCAACATTTCACATATAACCATTAAATAGAGACTTTATTTGAATATCACGCAAATCTTACATGTGCAATATTAAGAATTCAACAGATACTTTTCGCCGAAATATTTCTCACGCTAAGATAAACTATTTCATTCAGCACTCTGATTTAGCAGCAAAACACTTTAATTCCAGAATTTGTCATTCTTGTCACAATATTTTTGTCAAAGGTTTGGCCTTTCCTTCTGCTAAGCAAATCAGACTTACAGTAAATAATGAGTAACTATTGTATATGAATAGTACGCAGTCTTTGGATAACATTACTTCTGTTTAATGTGAAAAGAAGAAAATACAAGCATCAGTTAGGAAAACTTCTAGACTTGCTGCCTAAGCTGAATAAAGTCGTAAGGCTGGATGCTAAACCGTGATAAGTACGTGATACTCAAGTTCACGTGACGCAGACATAGAAATAATTTTGGATTACCAAATTACATATGTTTCAAGTACACTTGACACCTAGCTATCAAAATGAGATATCAACTATTTTCACTTAGCTTGAAAGTATTGAGGAATGAAATTAAATAGTGAAATTCAAAAAAAGAAAGGTTTTCTGGACGTAAAAAAAGAGTACTCTTTGATATTAAAAAAGATGAAAAGAGAGTGAAAAATGAACACAAGTCTCAGTTTCAGTTTAAATAGCAAAGAAACTAGAAAAAGGGAGAAAAGACTTTGGTGAGTCAAAAAAACAACCACATGGTGACTTCTACAAGCTGTAGCTGAAGGCAGAACAATGCGATATTGAGTCAAACGAGATTTCCATTTAATACTGTTAGTGTATTTCATCAAATGAATAATAGGTAAGAGTTAATTCAATGTAGAACTGATTATCGAATATCGTCACTCAGGCAACCGAACGCAGTTGAAATTAGTTCGCTTTCAAGCAAAGAGAAATAACGTGAGACGACAGCCATGGCATCTCAGTGCAAATAACGTTAAATCTTGTGCACTGCTTTGGAAGGCTTATTTTACGTTAAAAGCCATACCTCTGTTATGATTTTAGCCCAAATATGATCAGTCACTATTTCAGTATCATTTCTATAATTTTTTATGGATAACGTAATTCACTGTACCCTTGAAAGCATGGAAGCTAATACAGAAATTTTCTTAATGCAATGCACTCATCAGTTAAACAGGAAACGAAACCGCTCTCTCGGTATTTTCTGCATGCAGTCTGCATGCTGTTTTGCATTTAAATGAATTGAATGAGCTTTGCTTCTCCTAAAGATTATCTGTGTCATTTTTGACTACTGTATTGTTAAGATGTTCCAAATATCCAAAAATGCAAAAGTAAATGAAGTAAATGTCCTTTACGTATGTCAAAAAACCATAGGTGCTGCTTTCATTTATCAATTCCGAAAATGCTGAAAGTAAATGAAACACTTTTTCAAACTTTAATAGTGTGTTCGGCAAAGACTGAGAAAAGTGTCTTTCAAGATTTAATGGATTTTTTTCTAGTCCATCATTTATTTAGTTCAGGCTGGATAAGTTGCAATATCAAGTAGTACAGTAATATTAGTGATAATTACTAGTGACGCATGATGAGAAAAAAACTTTTAATACTTCGAAATGAATTTTTCATACATTAAAGAAATTATAGTTTTCCCTTAGCGACATAATTCTGGACGGAAGAAATTTAGCAACTTTATATTTCCTCACAAAATATGTACATACAAACTCTAAAATAACAGTAGACTCCTGAGACCAGGATTTTAATCTGCCAAGTTTTAGTCAGAATGAAAATTCCACTGGAGATACAAACACTGATTATGTAAAACAAAATATGAGATTGTACAAATGAAGAGCGAAGAGCGAACCGAACAGGTGCATTCATTTCGTTGTTAATAAAATTTCATTTCGTACTTAAAATGGCAATTTCCTGAAGTCTGAGTACACACACTCAATCAATTTGTAATTGAATTTGTTCAGAAGTTTTGAAGTTGAAAATATTTGGCTCATAGAATTTATTAACAGCATTTATAGACAGATTTGCTCGCAACTGCATAATTACAGGCATATTTGTAGACATGAGCAAGCAGTTTGTTGTGATTAAGTAAGTGTTACTGGCATCTTCTAATAACAGAAGGTTTTTTGCGTACAAAGAGCCACTGCTCTTTGAAAGATGCCAATGAAGCACTCTTGCTGAACAGTAGCGAGCAGATATTGAAAAATGAGTGAGGAAGCAGTAATGAAGAGCTAGAGCAAGGCTTTATCAAAGAGCCAAAGGCAATAAAATGCAGCATTGACTACTGCTTCGAGGAAAAAAGTTTAAACGAGAGCGTTCGGCAGAGATTGAGAAAATTGTCTATTGATCAATGCAAGTGTATTGCACTAGGGGCTGAGAGGAATAACAAATTAATCAATTAATTAATTGATAGAAAGGATGAGAGGAGCGCGAAGTAAAGGAAGTGATGAAAGTAGTAAACAGCAGGAAAAAAATAGCACACTGGCTGAATGCTGCAGGAGTGGGGAAGCGAGATATGAGAGAAGCTATTCCGAGAATTCCTTCAAAAGGCTGTAGTATCATTCTTTTCGAGTTACTGTATGCACTCACCCCAGAGCCACAAAACTGCAGTGTTCTGATATCATAAATTCGTCGTGACCATTAGAATCCCATTATCGTAAGAGATCACACAAAACTGTTGAGAATAACTGAGAGCTTATTTTCTTAGAGATTGGGGATGGATTCCTCTGAATGATGTTCACAAGCATACTTTATAGCTTTAGGACAAGAAAGGTATTCATTACACATAATTCGTAATACTAAGCTTACTTGTTAGTGTAAGCGCATCAAAAAATTTCATTGCACCTCACTGCACTTGTTCATGCACTGCATTGTATATGTAAGCAAGCATTATACATTTTGCGAATATGAATGAAAAGGAAGGTGAGAAAGATTGACGCGCCTATTTAGGAAAAGCAGTCAGATGACCATAAACAATGTCTGAAACTTCCAGAATTTCGCTTTAAGGTGCGAAATTCAAATATTGATTGGACTTTACTGCCTCTCTAGACTTGCCCAACACATAATACATTTCCTAACCGATACTTGTCTCTCTTCAATTTCCAGGGTATCATCGTTGATTCTAAAGCTTTGAAAGTCTAGTATGATGCCAACATTGCTTCCGACTATTTATTGAAGACTATGCTAGCTAAAGCTTGATTTATTTGCAAAAACACAAGCGCATCAGTGAAGAATTTCGCTCAATCCACATAATTATGAGATGAATTCTGCGTTCTCCACAGTCAATAAAAATGAATACTCTTGTAACAAGTGTTAATACACATTTTGTGAAATGATTTTATATACTTCACACGCCTTTTCAAAGTCTAGCCCCTACCGATTTCAATGGTTAAGGAAGGACGAAAAGGGGAATATCGACTTGCTAGTTGCTTTTAAAAATTGATCATTTTTGCGATGTTTCTAGGAGACCCCATCAAAATGGCGAAGATACGTTGATGAATATCAGAAGAAGATAATAATGTAGCAGAAATGCATCTACAGGATTCATATACGTCTACGGGTCTATGGACAGGACGAATAGCAGCAGAGAAAGGCTGTCACCCTGGAGAATTCCGCGTTCTATTTTCTTCCCCATTATAGTGCATTGAAAGGTTTAAAATTCCAGCGTGGATCAGCAGGTTTCAAAGAAACATCCCATTTAGATGGGCAGTTGTACTGAAAAACAAAGGATAAACCATAATGGGGAAGAAATGCAGCGGGGAATCCTCCAATGTGTCAGCCTTCCTCAGCTACTACTCGTTTCATGCATGGACTCGTTAAGCTCGGCTCAATATCAGATACCCATCGAGATCTGAGATGGAAGTTCCACGGATATGGTCTGAAAGCATTTCCGCACACGCGAAGCCATTCTGTTTAGGAGTTCGTCGCGAATATGAACGTTGAGATCAGAGCTGATACGAGAGTGAGAACAGCTATAAAGATAAGTGCAAATCGACAAGTGCGGCATGTGTTCAATCGATAGTACTCAAGAAGACGCGCGAAAACATCTCATTCGATGACCGCTATGGATTCCACAAAGATGAAGCAAAAGAGATCAGAACAATAAATTTGGGCGCGACACAAGTACAACCTGAGTGCCCCATTACGAATCACCGTCAGAATCAATAAAGCGGGAGAAAGGACCAACCCCCACCCCATTTTCTTTTCTTATATATATATATATGGAAATGGGTAAAATGAAGTGAATTTTTACTCGAACTAGAAGGTTTTCAGTTTCCTGCGCGATCTCTCTAATTTTGTTACGCTGAAAAAAAGCAGAGTTTTCAATTTTAATTTCGTTCTAGCTTGAAGTCAGTGCTTGAATAAGCTAACACGAAAATTTGATTGAAACTGACATGTTTTGTGTATTTTGGTAGACATTATCAGAAACATATCAGTATTACAAATGAGATGAATATCTGATCGCAGTGGACGCATTTTCAGAAACAGTCTCAGCAAATAAGTACGAGAAACCCGATCATTATATTGAAACAAAGCATTAAAAGAAGCATTCACAATTTAGAAGCTGTCAAGTAGATTGACAACTTAACTATGAAACCTAATCTCATGAATCAAGTCTTTTCAGTAATTTGCAATTTATCTGCCTTGAATTTACGGCCACATAAAAGACCTGAAAATTTTTCATTAGGTCCATTTTCTGTTGATTCATGACCTACATATACAACTGCATGCGTGCTTCGGAGCTTTGATGAATTTAGCTGAACACTTTCGTGACAGTCCGTCATTAAGAAACAACGTATACCGAAACAGTTTATCGTGATAATATAATTTGCCACATTATTAGTACCACAGTCATCACTTTTATTACCTCGATACCTGCACGATAGTATCAAATATTAGATGGCAAATACGGATAAAAAGAATAAACTAACTTTCAGATATCTGTAAATACTTGGTTTAATTCAGTATTTCTCGCTATAATCACTCTGCAAATGCACTAGCCAATTATTTGAATCTTCAAAATTTCCTTCACCTCTTTTATTGTAAAACCAACCCCAAAAATATTGTTACAGTGGAAGACGAAAGTCACAGGCACTTTGTTAAAATAAGCGAGAAATAATTGGGAAATTAATGTTGCATAAAGCTCAGATATGAATGAGTTACGATTCGAACTATTCCGGACGAAAATATTGGAGTGCTGTGTGCGGCAGGGTCGCAGGTCGCTAGTCCTGTTGTCTATGACAATGTCTGCCGGATCTGGAGCTGTTTTCCGGACTCGTAGAACCTTTTATACTGTACTGCCTATATGCTTTATTATCTTCACTTGCCTTTTGTCGATAGCTTTAATTCTACCATCATTTCTCTTCAGTGATTCTAATTCTGTGCCATTGGTCCTTCATGGACCGATCACTTTCCGGTGGGTGCTACATAATTTTTTTTTCTCCATGTTCGTTACCATGGATCAGCATTGAATCCCCTTAGTTTTTGATCTAAAAAATTGATACCAAAGTAAACCTACCGATCTACGCTGACATGTTAAGCCTTTCAATACGCTCAATCAGGTATATGTGACTAGTCGAATCGAACGGTTTTTTAAATGTCATACCACATAGTATAAGCTGATTTGCAACTTCAAGAGTGCCTGCTTTTTTGTACCTTGAACCTGTCAAACAGTTCCTAATTGGTTGCCTGGAAATAGTCTGTCTTCTCGTGGCAATATCTAATTGCATTACTCGTACCACACATTTCGCTGTCAACTTGGAGAGGTTCGACCTACAGGTTATTGGCCTGAAGTCGCTACCTTTGTTTGGACACCTTTTGGAAACAGATACGTCGTGCCTTTGTAGAACCACAGGTCGTGTTCTTCCCCATCCATGCAAATCCGCTTTGTTATTTTGTACAGATGTAAGAAGGTGCACTGCTTATTGAAGAAGTTATAGACTCCATCAGGGCCTGCGGTCTTCCATTTGGGCAAATAGAAAACTGCTTTTTCAAATTCGGCTGCAAATGAGAAGTTATTGTGCACTTAATTACTTTGCATCTGTGTTTTTCCCATCACAAAGGATTGATAGCTTTTCCAGTTTTTCCACATTGGGAATTATCAATTTGAGAATTATCAATGGCTTGAATTCCGATCTAAAGTGTTCATTATAATTTAGCAAGCCCTTTTTGAATTATAAATTTTAACTCCTTATATTTATCATAGTTTTCTTTTAATTATCATTACTTCCAAAATCTTGAATTGCGATGTTAAAAATTTTCGTTGACGATGTTAA